TACGGGCCGCCCTGGGCCCAGGCCCTGGCCGCCGTGTTTCGCTTCCACCCCTTCGCCGTGCGGGAGACGCCGCGGGTGCGGCAGCTGGCCCTGCGCCGTGGCTCCGCCGTCTTCGTTGTCAACGAGCGCCTGGTGCCCGGCTCCACCGGTGACCTCCTCTACGATGTAGACCCGCAGCCAGCCTTGGGCACAGCCTCCAACATCTGCTTCGAGGTGGACAACGTCCCCAGGGTCTGCGAGCAGCTGCGTAGCCGGGGGTGCTCCCTACAGGTGCCCCCCACCGAAGTGGGGGACGATGGTGGCTCTGTCACCTATAGTGTGGCGAGCTCTGTCGTGGGCAACATCAGCCATACCCTGCTGGATCGGTCACGCTACCGAGGACCCTTCCTGCCTGGCTTCCAGGCCATCCCAGGAGCTCCACCAGCAGGTGGGGATGGGGTTGGAATCACCCACTTCGACCACATCACGTGCGTCTGCTCACGGGGCAGAGCCAGGGCAGCTCTGGACTGGTACCAGCACTGCTTTGGTTTCCAGCGCTTCCAGCTGAACCCGCAGGAGAGCATGTCCAAGGGGTACGCGATCAGCGGGCAGGGGGTCGGCATGCTCCTCCTGGCACTGCAGAGTGCCAAGGGCACGCGTGCCCTGCCCTCCCACAACTGCAAACTCATCCTTGCCGAGTCCCTCTCAGAGGATGGCACAAACCAAGTCGATACCTTCCTGGAGCAGCACAGAGGGGCTGGAATCCAGCACGTGGGCCTCTACACCCCAGACATCATCAACACGACCAGAGCCTTGAAGCAGGCCGGTGTGCAGTTCTTCATGCCCCCTGCCACCTATTACACCCAGGAGGACAAAAAGGAAGAGATCTGGGGGGCTGGGGAAGACCCCCGTGTGCTGGCAGAGCTGGGCATCCTGCTGGATGCTGCAATACCCAGGGACAGTGAGAATGGCCGCCTGGGTGCTGACACAACAGAGTCCACTTTTCAGAAGAAATATTTGATGCAGATCTTTACTCGCCCCATTTTCCCCCAGGAGACCTTCTTCTTGGAGCTCATTGAACGGCGGGGCGCCCCAGGCTTCGGGGAAGCCAATATACGGGCACTGTGGAAAGCTGTGCAGGTCCACATGGCCCAGCAGCAGCAAGTCCACCAGCCTCCTCCTGTCCCCACTGGGACCCCACTGCAGACACCCCCACGCAACTGCAGCCCAGCTGAGGGTGGCAGGGACTTTGGGAAGTCCCCAGTCCAAACCAAAGTCAAGCTTGGGTCAAGGTGAGCTGAGCTCTGAGCAGCTGAGGATGGGGATTGATTTCTGCCCCCTGTGGAGTCTTCCTTGGGCAGTGATTTATCACCCTCTTGTGCAGAGTTTTTTGACTTAATTTAAACTCAAGCTCAGCAGACTTGTGCCTGCTGCATGGACAGGTCTGCTGCAAGCTGTGCAGGGATGAAGCCCCAGAGATGAGGGGCTGCTAGAGGGCAGGAAGCAGCGGGGGGACGCTACAGTCACCTGGGGGTTACAGCCTGGAGCAGTGTCAGCTCTGGTACACTGACTTCCCCTTCACTACTTAAATTAAAGAGTCAACCTTTAAACAATGCTTTGGCCTTTTCTGCTCCTGTTTAGGAGGCACACGGTGCTAGGCAGAGCCATGGGTGCCTCTCTGCATAGAGGTTCACAAGCCCAGGGGTCCTTATCCAAGAGTGCATTAGCCAAAGAAATCCCCAGTTTTCCCAGCCCAGCCCGTTTCTTTCCTACCATCTTGATGGAAGCTGTAGCCATGGGGAGGGAGGGTCCCTGCCTTCCTGCCCTAGTGAAAAGGCTGCAGAAGGTGACTTATAAAAACCTTAGATTTATTAGAAAGCCCATGGTTCAGATTCACTAAAAGCAAGTAAAAAGGGGGCCTTTGGAGCCCATGATCGGTACAGCAGCATTGCCCATTGCTGGCTGGTGGCCAAGTTGCAGACAAGTGCTCAGGCCCTTCAGCAGCTCCTGGAGGAGATGGGGCAGCAGTGGATGCAGCAGCTCCCTCATCAGTGCCAGGGAAACCTGTGATACTGCCCACAGCAGTGCCAGGAGCCATGGCCAGAGGAGGCTGGAGAACCCAGGCCGGTCACCAGCAGTACTTGGCATTCACACTCTCTCCTGCAAGCTGAGTGGGAAGAGAGCCTGGTTCTGGATGACGTTGTCCCCAGGACCACAACACTGGCCCATGGGAGGGAGCACGTTTCTGCGGCCCAGCCAGCGCTCCGCAGCGATGGCCGTGGGGCTAGAGGCAGGAGGCCGTCATGGCGCAGCAGCCTCCTCCCAGCCCAGGGACAGGGCTGGGGCCGTGTGGGAGATGCCGTCCCCATTTCCACCCCCCGGGCAGGACTCACTGCAGCGCCAGTCTCATGCGGTCCCAGCAGCAGGAGGTGCCATCACTGGGGGCTTGGGTGCCGGAGGAAGGCCCGGAGGGAGAGCTGTGTCCCAGCGGGGCGGCTGCCGGCTCCCCCTGGCTCCCCCCCCCGCTTCCTCTTGGAGCCCTGCGAGTGAGACCAGCCAGGCCTGAGCGAAGGACTCCCCTCCAGGGAGGAGCCCCCACACAGAGACCTCCACAGGCAAAACCAGCCAGGAAACACCCCAACCCCATCCTGAAAAGCTCTGCCCAGGCTGGGGACACCCCAGCTCCTGCCTTGCCCTCACCCCACGGGGGTGCCACATGCACCACTGTCTCCAGCAACACAGGCTGTGGCCTGGCCTGTGGCAACACAAAGCTGCTCCCCGGTCCTTCCATCACCCCCTCCCAGCCATACCTACCTTGCCAAAACCGTTCTGCTCCCCATGCTGCTTCCTGTAAGCTCTCAGCACCTGAAAGAAGCCCAAGAGAGCTCTGAATTGAACAGCATCCGGGGCCTAGAGTTGGGATGACCCCATAGCAGTCAGGGGGATTTCTGAAACGGTAGAGAGGGCAAAGGGAGGAAAGGCCCCAGTACCTTCTTCATGGCTGCGGACACAGCTGAGGCGTGGAACTCCTCCTCCGTCACCCAGCGCCATGGGGACAACACAGGGTCTAGGGCCACATCCTCATCCACAGGTAGGGAGTAGACCACATACGTTTGGTGGATGTGAGAGAAGATGTGGATGACCTGCAGGCAGGGGAGAAGAGGCTGACGATGGGTAACCAGGAGGCGGCCAGGGAAGTGCCACTCACTCGGCTTCCCCACACATGACCCGAGTTCTGTCAGAGCTCAGAAGAACATGGCAGGGCCAGGAAGGAGAGGGCTGGTAAGGTGAAAGAGGAGCCCTCCTCCTTGCTCTGCCATGCTGGGGCTTGCGCTGCTCCCTGAGAGCCAAGCTCACCTCTCCAATGTACTGCAGGGCTTCAGCTGCAACAGGCCGCCCCATCCAGGCCTGCAGATGATCTGCCAGCGCCTCCCTCTGCTTCTCCTCCTGCAGCCCCAGAGCCAACGGGAGGCTGGGGAACTCCCAGAGCCCGGCCAGGAGCCCTGGGAACAGAGACGTGAGCAGAGAGGTGCAGCTGGGGACACCGAGCCCCGAGAGGGCTGGGACAAGCCCTGTCTTTTGCCTGCAGGGAACACTGCTCTGGTGCTCCCAGGCTGCTCCATCCCTCAGGCAACCAGGAAGGGCCCCGTGGTGTTTCCTTATGCCCAGGACGGCTACCTGAGCTGGGCCTCTGCACGATGAGGTACCGCGGGGCCCCGTGGCGGCCCCTGTGCTCCAGCACACACGTGGCCGTCCGCGCCATCCGCGGCTGCTTCTTCGCTGCTTTCCGCGGGAAGGTGGTCACCCCCAGGCTGCTGTCCCATGGCTCCGTGGCCGGGGGACACAAGGGACAGCCCCCAACACCTGCAAACACCAAAGCAAATGTCATGGTGGGGACATACGCAAAGCTGCAACAGGGACGTGCCAGGCAAGGTGCTTACCGCAGTCCTCGACGTCGGGCACCGTGGGGCAGGTCCCAAGCAGCCTCTGGGAGGCAAAGCCCAGCTCCTTCTCCACCTGTGGGGCAACCAGGAGACGGACAGGCTCACCCATGAGCCAGCCTTGGCCCTTGCTCAGCCACTCCTCAAGGTGGCACCAGGCAGGGACGCAGAATAACGCCCAGCCAAGGACAGGGACAGGAAAGAAGCAGCCTGAGAATGGGCTCAGGGTGAGTTTTGCAGCCCCTCTAGGAGGGCTGGCAGCCCGCGGGCACCTGCGGGTTAGCGCAGGACGTGTCTGGGGACCGACCTACCCTGCGCCGTGCGTGGCAGTGCTGCTTCACGGGGCACTCCTCACACAGCGGGGCCTTGGGCACGCACACCGTAGCCCCCAGCTCCATCAGGGCTTGGTTAAAGTCTCCAGGGCGGCTCCTGTCCACCAGGACATTGGCCATGTCCCTACAAGGAATGGCAGTTGGTGGCATGGAGCTCTGCAGGGAAGGGATGCGAGACCTTCACCTGCCTCCTGCCCAGAGCGATGCTCCCAGCGAGGCAAAGGCAAGAGGGCCCTTTCCCTTTTTCAGACACTATGACCCCCAGCCCCCTGGCCTCCGTTCCCTGAGACACGCAAATAATCCCATCCTCAGCCACGAACAAGCAGAGACGCCCCCAGGGCCGATGCAAGGCAGCCCTTGGTGGGTGCTGGAGAAGAGTGGCGGCTCCGCACCCCTCTGCCCACACCCGGCCGCGCAGCGTGGAGGGCTTTGGAGCCTTCCCCTCACCAGAGGCGGTCGAGCGACGCCGGGCGCGCCGCGGGTGCACCGCAGGCGGCACAGGACACGGATCACATCCCCATCCACAACGCCGGTAGCCTGGGATAAGGAGCCAAGGGACAGGGGTTACTCTGCTGGGCCCTGCTGTGCTGCCTGAAATGAGGGAGCTGCTCCAGGGACAGGGGGAAGGAAATGGATGTGCTTGACCTCAGCCCACAGGATGAACTGGGCAGTGGGAGAGACAAGGGAAGCAGCAGAGCCACATACAGAGCCCCTGGCAGCCTCAGCCCTGCGAGCCCTGGCAGCGGGACGTGCGGGAGCAGGGGCAGAGAGGAGAGAGCAGCAGCTCTGCCACGAGCGCCCCGCTCTCACCTGCCCGTATGAGATGGAAGCGATGGCTCCCGCTGTGTATCTGCCCACTCCCGGCAGCAGCTTCTGCAAGTCCTCAGCCGTCCTGGGCATCCTGCCAGCCAGCTCGGACACAACCTGCAGCAGAGACAATGGCCAGGGTCAGGGGGGCAGCCAGGACGTGCATGTGTGACCCGTTTTGCCCATGACAGAGAGGGAGCCCAGTCTCTGCAGCCCCACACCTGGGCACCGCCAGCAGCGCCCAGCCCCAGGACACAGGCTAGGTGCCACCCTCTGGGCTGCTAAGGGGTTAGAAAATGCCCCCAACGCCTCAACACGCAGGCACCTTCCTCGCTGCCTCCTGCAGACGCTTTCCTCGCGAGTAGTAGCCGAGTCCTGCCCACAGCTCATTCACCTCCTGCTCCAGGAGACACGAAGCGGTTAGTGGGGTCAGCAGGAGGGGCACCAGCACAGGAGAGAGCCCGGCCCGCGCCGCGCTCACCTCCAGGGAAGCTGCCGCCAGAGCCTGCAGCGTCGGCCATTTCTGCCATCCAGAGTGATGGGAAAAGTCAGGAGCAAGGACAACTGCGATCCGCAGCTGGGGATGTGCCGCAGGCAACAGGCACCATCTCCAGAGCGGGGAGCTCTAAATAGAGCACTAAGCGCAGGAGCAGTCACCTGCATCCAGCGGTTGTAGTAGTCGATCACCGTAGCCACCTGTGTCTGCTGGAGCATGATCTCGGACACCCACACTGCAGGGAGCACAGGAGGCCGCAGAGCAGAGGTGCCGGTACCGCAGGGTGGAGCCAGATGCCGCGGCCACGTTAGGACTGGCAGTGCCAAGCACCGCAGCAGCCCCTGACTCACTGGTCCCCTTCCCAACTGCCTCCTTCCCCACCTGCTGTCCCACCAGAGCCCCCTTGAACCTGAAGCTGGATCTCAGACTGCCCCAGAGTCTGGCTTGTGCAGCTTGGGGCTCATGTGGCCACCCCAAGGGACCAGGCAGCCCATTTGGAGGCCCAAACCCCCCTAGTTCCTCACAGTCCATACTGGGCACCCAAGTCATGTAGGAGCCCAGAGGAACTTCTCAGTGCACCCAGCATGGTCCCTGCTCCTCACCTGCGTAGGCCCGTCTGTCAACATCTGGCTCATTTGCAGCCTGAAACAGGAAGACAGAGCGTTGGGAATGTGTGACACAGGCCCTCTCTTGCAGGGCAATGTGCTCCTCGCTAGGAGGTACATGGGCCAGGGAGCACCAAGCTCCATGTTGGCCCAGGCACAAAATCCCAGATGCAGCATGAGGGACTTGGAGGCTTCTGCAGGAGTTTGCCCCAGCAGCTCACAGTCCCAGCAAAGCAGCTGTCCCCGACACAAGCCCCTTCGCACAGGAACAAGTTGCAGTCAGATTTAATCACAGTACAAGGGCAGCACGGGGCTCAGCACTGCTTGGACAAACGCTGGCCATGAAGCTAAGGCCCCCTCCACCCTTCCCCTGCTTGAGGCCTAGCACAGGGCATGGAAGGGCATGAGCCTGAAGCCCTTCACTTGCAGCCAATCCAAGGAGAGTGTCTTCGTGCAGCCCTGCCAGCTGCAGGGCACCCCAGAGGCAGCAGTAATACAGGTTCAAAAACAACTAGACGAAGTTTGAGGAAGAAAAGTTCTCCTGGACTCCAGATGCCTCTGAGGAGCTGCTACCCCCTTCCTGCTTTTACCCTATACCCTCCTCTGCTGCTCGCAGAGAGGGGCTGGCTATGGATCACCCGCCGGGAAGCAGCCACACTCGGCTGGAAGGACAACCCCACACCCGAACCCGTCCGAGCCGTCGAGGCACA